AAATAGGGGAGGACCTGTGATGCCAGGGGATTAGCGATGAGGGGTGAACCTGATTGGAGCAGGAAAACTGACCTGAGATGGGGCGGACTGTGTCAACACCAAGGACCCTGCCGCTACCAACCCTTCTCACCTAGGCCCCACCCTACATCGCCCCCTGGTGATTGGAGATATTCACCCTGCAGAAGAAAGACTGAAGCTGGAAGGGACCTCAAGTGTCGATCCCACCACTCACATGTTTTGTCCCTTCCTCAGGCTGACTGGGCAGGGGCCCCTCCCTACAGTCTCTCCTGCTTCGACCAGGGTCAAAGCCACGGCTTTCCAGCTCATGATGCACACCCGGGCCCCACAGGGCTTCAAGGTCGCAGTTAACTTGCTGGGACTGGCTGCATCCACTCTGATGTTTCTACTCTGAGCCCACAGCCAGCCCTAGAAAGCTCCCCAGATATCATTATCAGCCCCAGGAGCAATGATCACTGGTCCTGCCACCGGACTTATTCCCTCCTCTCCCCCTGACAAGCCCCTGTGTGAACAGGGGAAGAAGTGGCCAATTGAGTAACAGGTGTTTGTTTTTTCAGGAATCACAGGTTTGGTTCCACTTGGGTGTTGCATACTTCTATTTCTGCCACACTTTCTCCACTCCCTACTTAATAAACTCTGATCCACTTGTAGTCTGATGAATTCATTCTCAATCTCAACCTCAAGGCTTTTGGCCTTTGATTTTAGGAGAAACTAAAGACTGCAGGGGCCCTTAGAAATCATATGATCTAATGATTCCCAAACTTTCCAGCTGCTGGAAAGTAGAGATTCCCTAGAGAGATAATATTTGTGGGGAGGGTGAGAGAGGGGCTCTTTCCAACAATTTCCAAACTTTCAGTAGATAAAACTGCCTTCAGTTGAGGCTTGCCATGGTCCTGTCAGAGGCAGGGGTTTTGGCCCTCCACTGTGCTTCTGCTCCTCACCCCACTCCCACTTCTTGAGACCACCTAAGACTCACTCCACTAATCTAGACCATTCTGGGGTGATTCTTGCAGCATCAGGAGATGCTCTCAGAGAAGCAGCCTCATATGATGGAAAGAAAACAGTCCTGCCCTAGCTAGTTTGGCTCAGTGGTTAAAGGGCCGGCCTTCAGACTGAAGGGTCACAGGTTTGATTCAAGCCAAAGGAATGTACCTCAGTTGCAGGCTCCATCCCCGGCCCCTGTCAGGTAATATTGGGATAGCAACCAATCGATGTGTCTCTCTCACGTTGATGTTTCTTTCTATCTCTCTCCCACTCTCTGAAAAGCAGTAAAAAAAAACAAAAGTCCTCGGTGAGGATAAAAGACCAAAAACAAAACAGTCCCAAAGCCTGTCATTGCTCTGAGCTAGCCTGAGTGTGTACCTAGTATCTAAGAGTTAAGGAAGAAAGGAGAACTGGAGACCTGAGCAAACTCTAGAAGAGAGGCAACCCGTGACTTTTGCATTCATGTGCACTCTCAAACAGGTGTTCCTGGTCTGTGGTCAGCTCTAAAGTGTTGATTTTGATGCAGGTTTCTTTCATATGTGACTCTATAACCAAAAATGCAGTTTTGGCTGCCTGCTGCAACAAAAGTCAAACTCATGAGACAGGTGCTGGTGCAAAAGGAAAGAGGTTTTATTCAGGTGTTGAGACCTGGGAGAATGATGGAATTCTGTCTCAAAGGCCACCCTACTTCTTGAGCACACTCACAGTCTAGATTTCTAAATGGAGAAGTGTATGACCAGCTAAGTTGCTTACCCCCACTATGGTCTCTCAGCTTAAGGCAAAGATTATGAGTGTAGCGCAGGTTACAATCTTTGGAATGTAACCTGTTTGCAACCCCTGCTAGACAGGAAGAAGGTGTAGTCACTGTTTATCCTAAATCCACAAAGGGGCACAGCTTACACGAGCCTCCACTGGGAACCTCTAGTCTTGCCTCTTGCCTCTTCCCTCCTACTTCATGCCCCGTATCATCTGGGAGCCTTGGTGTCTGGCTGTAACATGAGAACAGAATTCCTATCACAGGCATGTTCAAAGACAGAAAAGATCAGGGTTGCAAAGCATTCTGTGAGAGGTGGTCTTTCTTCCTGGGAATGGAGGCAGCATTGACAGCTTGGGATACCCACTTCAAGCTGGGAGCTCCTGGGTTTCCAAGGGAATGGCCTCATCTTCTCTCAAGGCCATGAAGCTGGGAAACTTCTAGGACAAACTGAACCCTGACACCATTTGTGGCTTCCAGAGAAATGACAATGATAATAAATAAGTGTAAAAAGAGTTAACAACACACCCTTTAAGCCAAGAAAAAAATACATCAGGAGGGACAGTCACAATTTTGTGGACTAAGAGGTGGTGTGAGGGGCTGGGACTTAGGGCCAAGAGGGAATGAGGCTGAGGGGCGAGTGTTCCCTTCCCGGCCCCCCGGCAGATGGGGAGAAAGGTAGTAGGCTGTGTGGAGCAGCTGCTGGAGGCATTCCACCCCCTGCTCCAAGCAGCTGCTCCTCTGCCCTGACCCTGCCCATGCTCTGTGGCTCTGCTTGTGGCCGGCCCCTAGCGGGACAGTGGTGTCTGCTTCAGGGACATGAGCACAGAACGCAGGCGGGACACATCTTTGCACTGTTTGCTGCTCTTGGGGTTGAAGTCACACAGCTGGGCCACTTTCTCCCACTCTGTGCCTGGGGTTTCCTCCTTGGATTCCTTCATGAAAGCCTCCTCAGATGCCCTGTAGGTGGAGACAGGACAGAGGTCTCAGAGCTGTCTGCGTTTCCCCTGAATCAGTGATGCTCTGCCCCCACTGGGCAAGGCTTCTTCATCCATCCTACTCTGGGGTACTTTGTCCAGAGGTCTCCTCCCCAGCCCTGTGCCCTCTCACCCCCAGGAAAAGCCTTGGCATCAGAGGAAGCCTAGTTTTGTCCTGCCTCAGGACCTCTGCACTTGTCACCTGTCCCAGGAATGCTCTTCCCCCAGACCTGCTCCTCATGGCTTTTTTCTTGTCATTGAGGATTGAGTGCAGAACTCATCTCCTTAGAAAGGTCTTCCCTTGCCACCCTAGCTCAAGTTTCCTCCTATCCCTTTTCCACCCCTGCCCCAGCCTAGGCACTCTCTGGTCATTACCTCTCCATCAAAAGTTCCCCACCTGGGGTTCCTGGCACCTAATGGCCCTTGGAGGGAGGAACTTCTGTGGTACCTCAGCCAGTGACTAACAACATAACTGAAGTACTGGGTTCAGCATTGTCTCCATGTTTTGTGGACCCTGTAAGTGTTCTCCAGAAACACTAATAGAAAACTCAGTTAAAGAGGATCTTCAAAGCCAGACTTTCAAAAATTTCCACATGCTCATCTGTATCAGCAGAGTAGCGATAGAGACAGAATCCACTATATTCACAGCATGTTCGATGGCACAGCTCTTTTTAGACCAGGATGACTTTTTTTTTTAAATATATCTTTATTGATTTCAGAGAGAGGAAAGGAGAGGGAGAGAGAGAGATAGAAACATCATTGATGAGAGAGTCATTGATCAACTGCCTCCTGCACGCCCCCGATGGGGGATAGAGTCAGCAACCCGGGCATGTGCCCTGATCGGGAATCGAACCCTGATCTTCTGGATACTGAGTTGTGATGCTCAACTGCTGAACCACACCTGGCCGGGCAGCCCAGGATGACTATTTTCTCTATGGGCCCACAGCCTTGGGATTGCTCCATTGAGTCTTTGCTTTTGGTTGGAATCAAACCAACAAAACCAGTTTGAGCTGATGCAGGGGAACCAACTCTAAGGCCTGGGGAGGGAATGAAGTCAGTCAGTCACAGCCTCCAGGTCCTCAGCAGAGGTGCTGATAAAAACCTCACAACTCTGGCCTGTCTGTCCTAAGAGCCATGCATGCAGTCAGTCATTCCACAAGCATTCCCCCAGCACCTGCCTTGGGCCAGGCTCTGAGGATTTCTAGGCAAGGTCCCTGCACTCACATAGTCTGGTAGGGGATGTCAAGCAGATTAAAAGGCAATTACGCCCTAGCTAGTTTGGCTCAGTGGTTAGAGCGTTGGCCGGAGGCTAAAGGGTCCCTGGTTTGATTCCAGCCCAGGGCACATACCTTGGTTGCAGGCTTAATCCTCTGCCCTGGTCAGGGCATGTGCAGGAGGCAACCAATCAATTTGTATCTCTCACATTGATGTTTCTCTCTCTCTCCCTCTCCCCTTCCACTCTCTCTGAAAAGCAATGGAGAAAATATCCTCAGGTGAGGATTAAAAAAATAAAAGGCATTGTTAACAGGAAGTCTGGGGCACTGGGACTACAGGACACTTAACACAACCTAGAGGCAGAGGATAGTGGTAGGGAAACCTTCCTAAAATTGGCACCTGAACTGAGTGAAAAAACAAGGTAAGGGGCCAGCCTAGTCACAGGCCTGAATTTGGGATGCTATGAAGCATAAAAGTTACAAGGCTAAATAACAAAGGCTCTCAGGAGCTCTGCTACAGACTACATCCTGAAGGCTGTGCTGGCAGTGCTCAGTGGCCAGTCAGTGCTGAAGTCTAAGCAGGCTGGGTCCAATAAGGGAGGGCTTTCTGAGACACTCCCAGCCTGTAATTTCCAGCCTACCCTGATCATGTGGGATGAATGGGCTGCTTTCATGAGCCAGAGGGAAGGACATCAAGTGAAAGCCTAGGCTTAGTTCTGGTAAAGACTTGACTTCAAACCCATTAACAGCTCTCAAACCTGTTATCTGTAAGATGAAGATAGTACTACACACCTCTGTGCGTTTTATGTGAAATGATTTATGTAAAAACACTGAGCCCTTCTTTCCAAGAGCAGTGAGAAGAGACATTTTAGGTACTTCTAGAACAAAACCTTAGGAATAATAAGATTTTGTTTTATTAATAGCTGAGGACAAACTATAGAGATTAAGAAAATGCCCAGTGCCCACCCCCACACCCTGCTTGTAATCCTGCGATGTAACAGTCATCATGTCCTCATATGTCATCTAAATAAGGCCTGGGGAGGGGGTGGGAGCGAAGTGGAGGGGGTCAATTGGGGGGGAGGGGGAATGGGACACCTGTAATACTCTCAACAATAAAGATAAATTTAAAAAAAAAAAAACTTGCCTAAAGGCAATGGGACAATCAGCAAGCCCACTCAGTAGGTTAACTATTTATTGAGCACTAGTAACATCCTAAGTACCACTGAGGATTTAGTAGTGAACAAAACACAAAGTCCTTATCCCCAAGGAGATTATGTTGGAAGAAAGGCACAGACAATAAACAGGTAAATAAGTACATAATATACCATCAAGTATTTACAAGTGCTATGAATTCAAAAAAATGGGGAAGAATTAACTGGGTGGAAAAGGGTGCTATTTTTGAAAGGGTGGTCCAGGAAAAGACTTACTCGGGAGAAACTAGCCCCAGGAAAGCTCAGACCAAGGGCGATTAGATCGGGGGAGAGGTATGAGGAAGAGTATGTCAAGATCCCAAACTCTGGGGAGTCTTTATTAAGACTGGTAGAGGCAGAAAAAGATAAATTCTGGAAAATACCACTAAGATGCCAAAGAACCCAAGCAGGTTAATTTCAGAAGAAAAAACTGAATGGAGAAGGAAAGGAGAACTCCAACATAGATCCAATTTGTGCTGTGGAGGAAGTATGAGGACGTTCCGAAAGGGACCCTCCACCACAGTCAGCGCAGGCTAGCCGAGTCGGCTGTGGTAGATCGCAAACCCAGAACTCCGTGAGAGGTAATGGGAGGGCCAAGTCCTGCAACCCCGCAAACTACCGCGAAGGGGGCGGGGCAAGAGCCGGGACCCTGCCAAGTCAGTACCTTTCTCTGACCGAGGGGCACTGCCTCGATGAGGTCCATAGCCAATCCCATCTCAACCAGATTGTGCCGCGCTGACTTGGCGTGGTCCCAGGGATGTCGGATGTGGGAGCTCCGAGCAAAGAGAGGGGAATCGCGGAACCGTCACCTCGCCGGTCGTCACTGCCAGGCCCCTTGCCTCAGGAACCCAGGCTGCCTCACCACTCGATTCGTAGCGCTGCCTTTCGTCGAGAATTCCGGTTAAGACGCCTCCGGTTAGCACTGTAACCGAACTTCTGCCTCTGGGTCATCACCTTAGTCTGGGCATCCCGCTGAATACCGCTCCCGCAACTCAGACCCCGCGCCTTCGCTTCCATCCCCTGAAGTAGGAAACGCCTCCCCGCGGGCACGCGCAAGTCTTCACAGGCTTTCTGGGAAATGTAGTCCTCCCCCCACCGTAGGAATACAATGCTGATTACTACGACTCCCAGAATGCAATGTGCGGGTGCGCCTGCGTACAACGCTCAGCAAGTTCCTTTTCTCCGCCCCCTTTCATGACTTCATCAGGAGGCGGAGTTTAGTGTCTCCATTTTTTTCCAGCTGCTTTTGCCCTAGGTATGGCGACTCCTCGCCCTCTGACTCCAGAGGCACCCTTTGAACCATCTCAGCCCCCAGTCATTGAGGGTTTTAGCCCCAGTGTCTATGGCAATCCGGAAAGCTTCAAGGAAAAGTTCCTTCGCAAAACTCGCGAGAACCCAATGGTACCCTTAGGTAAGCGGGTACTGACGGAACTGTAAATGGACAGGACAGTGCTTTCGGGGAGAATGAAATAGGGAAGGACCGGGGACGCCAGGGGGACACCCGAATGGGGATGGACCAGAGATACGGCGAAGAGGCCGGGCGGTGAGGGGCGAACCTGATTGGCGCAGGAGCCGGGCGGGATTCGGTGGCTGGGATGGGGCAGATTCTGTAACTCCCGGGACCCTGCCGGGACCAACACCCCCTACCTCTTTCCG